ATGGTTGCAAGCCGCATTGGAATGGTGGAGAATCATCACCTGTCTCGGGCTGTAACCTCGTCTTTTGACCCTTGATCCGCTGTAGGCCATAGATGATCCGATTCACAGGGATCATGCTCACATTCAAAAGCTATCCAAACTTCTGTTAGCTCATAAGCATTCCCTGATGTATTAATTGCTCTCACCTCGACATGACCATCCACTTCCTTTTTGGCCTTTCATAATCGGAAAGCTCACCCATAATAGTTGAAATCGTCTGCTCAAGAAGCTCAGGGTCATGTTTGGCCTCAATCCTTGTCCTTGATGTTTTGTGAGCATTCATGATAAAAGAGAGGACGTGTGTTCATTGATTCCTTACCCAAAGTCACATGATGCATGTATCAATTGAGAATTGTCTTTGACGAGCAGTAGCTGATAAGTTGAAGCCTCGTGACGAATGACACGGATATGCATTATATCTTGCAACGTATGCCGCCGGTCGATTTCAGCAATGTTGTCTGGTTCTTGTTGACCGGTATAAGGGATTCGATAGAATGGACTTGGTTTTTCAGGCTGACCAACAAGGATCGTTCCTAAAGCAATATAAGTATAGATCCAACGCTCTAATGATCATCCACTTACAAAAGCCAAGCAAGATGCAGGTACAGGAGCTGAAATAAGGAATTCCTTAAAGATCAAGCGACCATCGCTGGTTTCAAGCAATAATTGCACTCTTTCGTAATGCCTATTTCAGACATGAGATGACGAATGTAACCGACACCTCTTTTTGCCACCTTACCCAAGCACAACCATAGCGTCGTAAACTGCATCGTTGATCAAATGTAAAAGATAAATAGCAGAAATAATAGGTTCTTCCTAAGGTAAAGCGTTAAGATGATGGATTTTGATCGTATAACCGTATACTCACAGGTAAAGTTGCAGATTGGTATCTTGTCCTTGTGCCGTGCTGCCTGACAAGTCACCATTCTCATGTCCAAAGAGCAATGTAAGGCGATCTCTGTGCAAACTTCCTTGTAAGTTTTCGCGTTCAATTGAAAGGTGCCATACTCACTTTGATAGATCGAGATGCTTCAAGAATGACTCTGGCGGTTGAGTGGGATCAACTATTTGTTACGTAGTGAGGAAGAGTAGCTTTGGCTAATTTCTCCATGTCAAACTTACCGAGAATCCATGTTGTTACACATGAGCGTGCTTTATGCAAATCCGCTATATATCGGTATTGGATGATCGAGCTATACAAACCAATGTTAATGCATGAATGAATGACCCTATCTCTTGTATATCGCTTACATGCTTATACATTTGCTCAAAGTGTTGTATCCTTGGACGCTTCGCAGCATGACTACATGGTGATATGAGCCAAGAGGATAATGTGGATTGCTCCATCAATGACACTTTACTCGTATGGCTCGCAGGTCACCCGTATCCACCACACAACACTCGGTTTGGCACACGTAAATCTGTTCCATTGGTGTTGGCAATGTCCATTCGCCTAGCTGTTAGGGTGGGTTTGGTGGGGAGGTTGAGTGAGCAATCGTAAAGACAAGATCGTAAGCTGTGCTAGTGCCGACCTGAGGAATGTCACTGTTGTCATTGGCAACTGCAAAGACTTTAATATTGGAGGAGTCGTCTGCAATAAAGAGCTTGGGGATGCCATGGCGACATGCGACGCGTGCAGTGCAAAGAATGGTTGGATTGTGAACAGTGTCGAGATCAAGGTGGGATACAGTGTGGACCGGGATAAGCTGCATTTTGAAGAAAGAAAGGTTGACACCAGGGCATTGAATCGCCCAAAATGGCTACGTATGGCAACCCACCGCATATGAACAAAGAACATAATTGTCCTGATCCAGCCCATCATTCCCATCCTCCTTCAACTTTCCTCAAACAAAGAAGTATCATCCAAAATCAGAAAAATCAATGTAATGATTACTTCATGAACCGCCAGCTAATAGCTCATTGAACCCATTCACCATTGTTGCCCAATCAAATGCATATGAACGATTCTCCTGCTCCAGCCCAGCATGCCCATCCTTCAACTTTCTTGATCCGGGGGGATTTGATTGAAAAACGCTCAAACACAGAAGTATCATCCAACATCACAAAAATCATTTTGCAAAGTTATTTGTCAACTGCCAGCTAATAGCCCATTCCTCCCATTCTCCATTGTTGCCCAAAACAATGCATGTGAACAATTGTCTTGCTCCAGCCCATCGTCTCTATCCTTCAAGTTTCTTGATCTGGGGGAATGTGATTGAACAACGCTCAAGCACATGTGTGTCATCCAAGCAACAGAAAAATCTACTTAATTTCCAGGTCTTCCGCTCCCAACGTATTTGCCTCTTCTTCCCATTCAAGTATACAACTATCAACTGCGAACGATTACTCTGCTTCAACCCATCATGTCAATCCTACAACTCTCTTGATCCGATTGTCTTTGACTCAATGGCAGGTCCATGGCGTGTACACAGCCTTGTTCTTGTCACCCTGCTACAACACGCGACTCTCTTGACACAACACACGCTTCTCTGCCACAACCAATCGTAACAGCGTCCATTGCAGCAGTTGCTACAAGCGTCGTCTTTAACAACCTTGTCATTCTATACAACACACGCTCTCTTGTAGTACAATCCTCTGCCACAACCAAACACGACACCAGCTGCTATTACGAAGGTCTCGACTCGATTGTCTCAAGTTACTTGCAGCATCCTACAGCCTTTTTCCAAGTGTTCAGCAGATAGAAGCAGCTTTATTTACGTATAGCAACATGTTTCAATACAGACGATGTGTATCCGGATATTGTTTGGTACATTGGCATGAAAGGGAGCTTCATCTGGTTAAGCAGCGAGGGAAATGGCCAAGTATGGGATGGAAA